CTCTCCATCTGCTTTACACACTGCTGAAGGAATTACTCCACCACCACCGAGCATTTCTCTCAGCAGCTTAGTTCCTTATGCTGAGAATTGGGAGAGCCTCCAATTAATTGTTCACCATATGGAAGGTAAGACTTAGAGATGAGCAGGTAGCAGGTAAGGGACAATTAAGGTAGTTCTCCCACGGGGTGATAGCCTTTGAGCAGATAGCCAGGGCTATGAGCATTACAGTCTTCTCTATTGATTCTGCAGCAGATAGAAACTAAAAACAAATTTGCAGGACAAGCAGAGTTTAGCTGAGGCAGAGCTTATGGGTCTAGATTCCATCGCTTGTGCTGCATTTCCAGTGGGAGAAAAGTCTACACCCACACAGGCGCGCTCACTCCCTGCACAGGGTCTGCTCCAGACACCATGCTTTCTCTTTGGGTCACTTTCTCCCTGCAGTTCCTCTTTTTCTAGTCTATTTAAGATCCGTCCTTTTCCATAAACCCTTTGACTTCTCTAGCATCTGTTTCTAACCCATACTGCCCTCTCCTTTTTGAGAATTCATACTGCACTTCTGGGTAGTACTTATCCTAGTACTTAATCATTCTCAAATTTTCTCCAACTAAAATGTGAGCTCTGGCATGAAGGATTAGGCCCTCACATTCTCATATCTCCCATTCATTGCAGATGTGTGTGCAGGACAGGCAGTACACAAAAGGTAGCAAGACGCTGTAGGACAATTGTGATCTGGAATCTGGTCCTAGCTTAGTTATTAATCGAACACAAGAACCAGGTGGGAAGGGTGGACATCAGCACTGTTATTCCTAAAGCCTCTTCTATGCTGGAAATTCTGTAATTCTAGATGTCTCTGACTGATAGAATATGGGGAGTGAGAAGAGACTATAAATTAATTCTGAGGTTGTGAGGCCTGAAGGACCAAGGAGGTGGGGGATTTGGTGGTATGCTTGCTAGGCAGTTTGCTGTCACTAAGAGTTTCTAATCCAAAGGATCCTTTCGGCAATAGTAAGTGGTAGGCTGTTGCGAGACACAAATTTAAGAATGGCATGGTACTCCCACCCAGAGGGGGGCTTTCTCTTATTTTAGAAAGAGATGAGCTTAGCCAGGGAAGGTCATTTTGGATAGTGTCTCCCCCCACAAAGAAAAGTAACCTATATTTTATATTTTCATAAAAACCTACAAGTTAGGTGAATCACTACTAAAAATTCAAACAGTAACTTTTTATATTTCAGTTTTTAAAACCTACTTTTGTACATAAAGAAATGAATTTTTGTCCCCCATTAGTACTTTGATTCTGTTGATCTCAAGCTAAATGTGTACTTTATGGTGGTAAAAAGGTCCTAACTGTCCACTATAGGCAACTGTGGAGGTCCACACCTGTAAATCTCAGCACAAGAGAGACTGAGGCAGGAAGATCCCCACAAGTTCAAGGCCAGCCTTGGTTGCATAGTGAGTTCAAGGCCATTCTGAACTACATCATAAGATTGTGTCTCAGAAACCTCAAAACTTCAACACTGTTGGTGGGAATGTAAACTAATATAACCATTATGAAAGTCAGGGTGGAGATTCCTCAAAAACCAAAAATAGAAATTCATTTTGACCCAGCTATTCCCCATCTAGGAATCTTCCCAAAAAGTTAAAATCATCATAGTACATATCCACAACTATGTTGTTAATATTAACAATATTAGACATTGGTACCATATTCAGGTAGTCTGTTTTTTAAAAAGTGGTTGTTCTAACACTTTTTTTTTTTTTTTTTTGGAGGAATCGGGGATTGAACTCAGGCCCTTGCGCTTGCCAGGGAAGCGCTTATTTCACTGAGCCATCTCCCCAGCCCTTTTTTTTCTTTTAATTTGTTATAATGCTGATTAATAAACTTCTAAATCTGCTAAGAAGTTTATCAGAGCAGCTAGAAATAGTAGGTTAAGAGAAGGGCTTGTAGAAACTTCTGTGTTTGTGTTTGGGATAGAGGGCAGTCCATAATTCACTGCTCACTGGGTTTGGATATGAGGGTACGAAAAATAGTTTACCCGCTGATGTGTTACTGTTAAACACTACACAAATGTAACATCCCATGAATTTCTGCTAGCAATTTAGTCAAAAATCATTTCCATAGAAAAGCATACTGGTACTCCTAAACATGGGAAATGATGCTTAAGACTGTAGCTAAAACTTATACAGCTTTTCTCCCAAATTCAAAATTCTGTGATGAAATATTGGTGATATAATGAAGACAAATCTCATAATAAAGCAGAAACATTGCTCTAGAAATTATGTTCTGCTGGAGAGAATTGACAATCTGTTTGACCCTCGCATAAAAGCTAATCTCCAGTAAAATGTGAGAAAATGAAAAAGTACACAATTCCTGAATATTTGAATTTTATATTTATGGCATCCTGCTGAAAGTTGTCAGAGTTCCTCTAATTACCTCTTTGATCTCCCCGCTTCTATTAAAATAGGTCAGAAAATAAGCTATTTTATGTAAAAATAAATTTGTCTACTAATTGGGATTTTCAGCAAATTATGTCAGCCAATTTTAAAACCATGATTAGCTGTGCTGCCAAAACGCACCTTTTGGTTGTGCGGGCCCGAGAAATGTCCGTGCTCATCGAGCACGTTGGTGTAAGAAGCCGCAGGGCAAAGCCCGATGAAAAGGGATTGCACGTGTTATGGGACTGACAAAATATGTAGATTTACAGTTTCAGTATTTAGGCCTGTGTCACAGTAACTGAGGTTTACCTGTCTTTTTCTTATGTTTCTTTTAACAGAATTCAATTCCTTTCCGACCTTCAATTCAATTCCAAGGGCTCCAAGGGGTGAGTACTCTCTGTCAATATTCTTCCTGTACACCACCAAACTCTTACAATTTGATTTTTCTTTGACCTTCATATAATCATTTGCTCATATATGTGAACTTTGCGGCTAAATGAAACCTTTTGACATCTTTGATCAAAATTGTGGGGTTATCTTAATTTTGAAAAAGTAATTCAGATATAGTTATGTTTTAAGTGTGTTTTTCTCTAAATCGTGGATAATGGCACATTTGAAATTTTTGAAGGTTCAAGCATCAAGACATTATGTAAATGTTTTATTTGCTATAACTAAGCAAAGAATAATTTCAAGCAAGTTGTGATATTGTAATTGTTGTTGACTATCTTTTTACTTAATTTTTAACTGTACAACTGGGGAATGAAATAGAATAACAGTTTAGCTTTTCTAGGATACCAAATAACATTTTCTGTGTGGATTTTATTGCTGTATTAAAGAGCAGGACATGTGGCGAGTACAGCTTTGTGGGAGAGCATGTGCTTAGCGTGGGAGACCCCAGGCTCTTTCCCTAGCACACACACCAAAATGGTGTGATAACTCTTACCAAATCCTGTGGATTTTGTATTTGCAGTAGATGGTAAGCTGTATAGGAACAGTACCAGTATTGTTTAATCATTACTATTAATATTTAATATTAGATTTTTTGTTTCCTTACTTAATATACTAACCATATGCCTATGTACTATTGCGGAGGTTTGGTACACTTGTAAATGGGTATTAGAACTATAAAGAAAAGGCGGGGGGTGGGGACACATGGTCTTGATTATTGTTAAGCTGCATATTTGTGAATTTTTAAGTCACAAAATTTTAAAACATCCACAAACATGAATGTACTCTTTCTAAACTTTGTAACGTGGACACATTTCAAGAGTCAAATTAATTACATCATTCAACATGGGCTAAGAGTACAGTACTTCTAAATCTGTTGTGTAATGCTAACTTGAAGGAGATGTTTGTGTGGCTGTCAGGGCTTTGCTTCTACATGACAGCTTTACAATGAAGGCTTTTTCCCCCCTCTTAGTAACCGAGTGTTCATGAATGGGATCCTAATTAGACAAGTGTTCTGAATCTTGTTGTATAGCTTCTTAGGTAGTCTTTAGTGCATGCTGAATCTGTGGATGAGGAGTTAATTCAGTTGTTTATTTAAGGCTTCTGGAGGCTCCCTGCATGTTTTAATTGTGTCGCTAATATCTGAAGAAATGTTCAAGAGGCCAGCCCGGGTCCTTAAGCCTGTGAGGCTCCACAGATTTCACCAAAGGGCTTTGCAAGAGGTGCAAGGAAATGAAAGATCTGTAGTTCTCTCAGTAGGAGTGGTAGAACCTCCGCCTTGTTCTGTGGCTGCTGCTTCTCTGAACTCTCTTTTACCTAGTTTGGGACATGGAAGCAAGGGAAATAAATGCAAGTAAAGGGCATTTTTCTTAAACGGCACCACGTTAGTCTAAGGACTGGTAAAGAACCAATGCATGCAGGCTTCCAAACTTTTGATTCGCACACTTGCATGTTTTCTCAGCCTCAGAAAGAGTATGGTTTTCCTTGGCACCACTACAGAGCAGGCAGTTTGCATTGAGATCTTGGACCTCCACCTGTATTCTGCCTTCTCCACCTGTATCTCTACAGCTTTCTTATGCCCATGTGTCTAAGCCCCCACCCTGTTTGTGTTTGCCTGCACTATTCTCACTGTGTCCCTTCCTGAACAGAGTCTGCTGTTAAAGATAAGACACTATAAGTGACTGATAATGTTAAACCTTAATGGGTGTTTGAATTTTTGCAGAGAAGCATTTTAGCCCAAATGAATGGTGGTGGGGTTCAGTGCGGTGGCTGGGGAGTGAAGGCTGCGGGCTGGGCGCTGTGGGTTGCTTGATCCTACCTTGAGCATTCTGGGGCTGACTCCTCAACCCCCAGCCCTTTCCATTATTCTAACAGGGAATAAAATATATGGACTCAGCATTGTTTTAGAGCCTGCAGCTGCATTCCATCTGCCCTTCCCCCTTCTCTTTGCAGCGCTCTCCCCAGCCCTGTGGGACTCAGTAAAAACAAAGAGTCATTACAGGGGAGAGAGAGTGGGTTGGCACAGCCCACGGGGAATATGCACAGCCATAAATGCAAGGGTCTTCTATACAGTGTGCCTCTGTTTTGCTCAAGGGCCATGATAAGTTCGACATGGCCCGTGCAGATTGCTTCAAAAACCTTGAAGTCTCCACAGACCTTTCTTACATGGGAATGTGCAAGGCTTTAAGTTGCAAGGTTCAAATTTAGATTTCCCACAAAAGGATACTTTTACTTAGTGAAAATTTTTGTCTTTCTGCATCAAACATGATTGAAAATATACCTCAACTATCACAACAGTGTCATATGTAGGTATATTCGAAGCATAACTGAAGCATTGTTGAATTAGCCTTTTAAAAGGAACGTGTTGTGTTCAAATTATGTCTTGTTTCCCTAATGAGAATTATGCTAAGTACCACATGGTTGTGCTGTTTCTTGTTACCAGTTATAGAACTTTTTTCTTTTCCCTTCAGCAGTGTCTTTAGAAGCCAGACTTTAGGTCTTGGCAAGTTAGCTTTTAAGCATATTTACTTTTCTGCTTGAATCTGTTCCCTTAGTTTGAAGCTAACTTCTAAAAACCTTCAGACTGAAACATTAAAATATAGCAATATATTATTAAAGAATTATAAGACTCATTGAATTTTTGTCATCACAGTTGAGCAACTTTTATAGCATAAAAATAAAAATTATGTCTTTCACAGCTCATCCCACCCTTTCCCTTAGTGGAAGAGGGCAGCCAGGAAAATGAATGGTCCTTGAAGGCCTTTTCTGGATTCAGAAAGAGAAAATGTCTATGGGAGCAGTTGATTCTGATTACTCATGAGTGTCAGGGGCTGAATCCACACCTAAAAATGCCTTGTTGATTGTGAAGAGTGTGAGTCAAGCAGTCATCTTCCCAATTCTAATCCATACCTCAGATGCTTACTCACATCTAAGTGTTGACTAGGGTTATATAAATAGAAGCCAGCACGTGTGAACGAAAGAGGAAGCTGGTGAGGTTCACCTGGGCAGATGTTGTTAAAGATGTTGGGGTGTTCTTGGAGCTACAAAATTCAGAGGGATGTGTTGGCATAATGCACCCAGTTACCAAAAGCTGTATCTCTGTCATTAAGTACACTTTATAAACACTGGGTTAGTTCATTCCATCTCTATATTTTAATCAAATACCAAAAACGTGGCAGGTGAATATTTTCCAAAGATGTGTATTTCAGTGAATTTTTTAAAACTAAGCTGTATTTTTAAGCCTGTTAAAGTTTCTTATCTAAAAGCATGGTTGACAAAGTCAGAGTTGTAACTATAATGAAAAACTCTTCCCACCATATTATTTTTTTTTTATTTTTTTTCTTTTCTTTTCAAACTTTTATTGATAAACATATAGCAATGAGACAGTTTCAAATCAAATCGAAAGTACAGTTTCAACAAATAATACACTG